CGTACATTTCCATAATAGCCTGTTTTATTTGGCGTCTGCCTATACACCATTAATAAAGAGCAAGAAAATCTTCATTCGTGTGTCTAATATTTTTTCAAACACTTTTTATATATTTTTTATTCCCTGATAAATATTAATGAAATTTAAAACAAGCAATGATTTTATCTATTCTGTGAAAAATTTCTCATATGAATATTTGCTGAAAACATCATTGATAACATCGCCATAAATTGCACTGAAACCTTCGGCCAGCGATGTCCGAACTTCTTGATAAATATCGTTCCAATTTTCATTGAGAAATAAATTCATATTGTCTCCCAGTGTTTTATCGCCATTGAAGAGATTTTCCACTTTATAGGTCATATGTTTGGGTTCGGCATCCAGCTGCATATCCTTAATTGTCATGTAGGTTTCACCATCTTTTTCCAAGGGGGTTCCCACAAAATCCATTTGCAGAGTGACGTCAACTGTAAAAGGAAATAAGGGAGAATTTTGTTAAAAACCCATTTTTTCATTTAGAGTTCTCAATTACCCATTGTAATATTGCTTTGTCCACTACCCTTAATGGGTAATATTAGAATTTTCCCATCTATGACATAATCGCCAACTAAGCTTAAATAATCGATTTTGAATATCAGCTGATTCTTTTTGGTCATATCTTTGTCGAAACCTCTGAAAGGGTGAATTAGAAGTATTATTAGTGGTGTTACTGTTATTCTTACTATTATTATTTTAGCGCAATATAGCACAATTACGTTACATCAAATTATTAATTTAAATACTATTTTCTTTATTAAACAATAATCAAATATTCGGCAGTTTTGATAGAACCAAAAAGGAAAGTAAATCGCCCAAAGTAAGAAAAAAAAAAACAAAATAGTATCAGTCGGTTTATCCGACAGATGTATACATCAGCCTTGAGTTATGATTGTTCAAACTGTTGACCCTATATGGGGGAGGTTCCGAAGAAGTTAGTTAAGAGAAATATTTAGATATAGGAAGTTGTAAAGAATCGCTGAACAGTTTTTTCCAAGTTATGACAGATAAATGCATTGGAAATTGTGACCCTTTGTGGGCGAGCTACCAGAAGGGGTTGGCAGACATATATCATCTTCTATACAGATCTTGCGTCAGCAAACATATTTGGATGTATGAAATTTGAAGAGAGCTGGATGCTCATTTCGCTTTCTTTGAACGGTACCTATACCTATGTGGTAGAGGTACCAGAAGAAATGGTGCGATATGTACTATCTTTATAACAGATCTTGTGTTAATAGAAAAAAATTAAGACGTGCCAAGTCTGAATGGAATCGGATGTTAATTTCGTGTTTTATGAGCTTCATGAATATTCCAAATTTTGGCCCTTTGTGGGGGAGGTACCACAAGGAGCGGGACCAGAGCTTGGGTTTATAAAAATATTGTGATGTGTGTAATATGAAGACAATCGGACCCTTAGATCACATTTTGTAAGAGTTATAATTATTCACAATTTTGACCCTTTGTGGGAGAGGCACTTGATGCAGTGGACCGATATTGTTCATTTTCGCAAAGGCCCTAGCACTGACGCAAATATTAGTATTTGCAAAGCAGGAGCAGAATTGGATTACCCCTTCTCTTTCTGTGTAATAAAATATTTTTTTTTTTTTTTGAAAATTTCGTGGAGGAGGTACCAGAAGGAGTGGACCGATTTTGTCCATCTCCGAACTCCATGTAAGTTTGACAATAATATTACGATTTTCCAAGTTTGGGCCAAATCAGATGCTTCCTTCGGGAGTTATCGTGGGCACCTGCCAGGCAGACGGACGGACGGACATCCCTGGATCGACTCCAAATGTCCTGAAACGGATTTGGTCCAAAGAGACCTAGGGTCTAAAACCGTTATTTCAATGAGGCACATTTTGGCCGTATCAAATTATATATATACCCTCTAGCCATATGACTGAGGGTATAAAAAAATCCCAGTTAAAACAAGGACAATATATGCCCAATTCCTTTCATATTCCGAGCGGATGGAAAAGTGGTAAAGTGTAAATAAATCTTTCCATTGAACTGTGCAGCCATTTTGTGAGGTAATGGAACATAGCTCTAGTTTACTGAGCGAGGAACTATTTTGTTCACCTACTTTCTTATGCTCTGTTCCAGAACGGCAAGAATATTAAGGTTCTTACTACGATAAACGATTATCCCTTTATAACATTAAAGCAAATTGCAAAACTAGTAGATTTTTGCAGCTTCTGGAACAGGGCATTATTTTATTTTAGTTCAGTCGATTCATTCAGTTTAATCGTGCCTTTTCGTTGTTTGTTCAACTTACTTGACTTTCACGACCTTTGCCGTTTTCCAGCCATGTACGGAATTATTGGTTAATTTCAAATCAATATTTACAGGACTATCGGCTGCTTGATGTATGCGAACATTTTCCAAAAATAATGGATCGATTTGTTTTAGATTTAAAGAATCATCACCTGGAATGGAATACATAATTTTATGGACTTCATTTCAGTCTAAATTGTTTCCTGCACATACCAGCATATTTTTCACTCATCAAATATTCGATAAATTTACCGATACACTCAGTATCGCCAAATTTGCAGGGTTGGGGATCGTTGGCTGCAAAGAAAGTATTTTTTAACAAAATATTTTTAGTTTTGAGGCACTCTGTATTTTTTTTTTGGTTAGAAGAGTAGAAAAGCTCCTTAAAGTAGGCAATGGTTTTGAGAATAAAACACCACGAAAACGTTTATTGTTATTATCGATCCAAATGTCTTCGTAAATCGCGTTATTCAGATCGGCAATAAAGAATCTGCGTAGATCGTTTTTTATGCTCTTATTCTAACACATCCTCGAAATATCCTGTTTACTTTGTTGAGGACACATTTTTATGGATGTGAAAATTAGTTTGTTTAAACCACATGTCATTCAATTCAGGTATAGTATGATCGAGAGTTAAGTATCCTTTCTTGACATTTTATAGCACTTACGAAATTCTCCCAGGATACCGACAATAAAAACACTTATAACACAAATATTCGCATATAATTTGGTCATTTTTTTTTTCGTTTTTTTCGATTTGCATATAATGTGAAATTTAAATAAACTACAATTCCCACATAGTTAGAAGTATTTATACCCAAAAACTAGTTAATTTTCTCGCATGTGTCTCAGTGATAGGTGTCAAATTTTAGATTTAATTGTTTAACTCGAAAATGAATGCGTGCTAATAGATAGACAAGTGATATGCATAAGAAATCTTAACATAAGCACGAAATTGGAAATTACATAGGTTTCCCATAGAAAGCTATATACGTTGCACGTAATTTACGTCCTTACCTAATTTGAAGGTTTTTCGTAAAAATGTGCTATGTATCACAATAAAATCTGTAAGATTTAAAGAGAGTTCGCTGCTTGCTTCACTTCTTTGAGCGTTTTGTTTTTCAAAATCTTGGGGGAGATACAAGAAAAAATGGTCCGATCTCTACCATCTTTACAACAGATCTTTTGTTGATAGAAATATTGAGATGTACCAAGTCTGAATGGCATCGGATGTTAATTTCGCGTTTTATGAACTTCATGGATATTCTAAAGTTTGACCCTTTGTGGGTGAGGTACCAGAAGGAGTAGACCGGTATATCCCATCTTCATAGCAGATCTTGTGTTAGTAGATATAATGACATGTGTGAAATTTGAAGAGTATCGGATGATTATTACAGATTTTATGATTGTTGTGGTTATTCAAAATTTTGACCCTTTGTGAGGGAGGTACCAGAAGGAATGGTCCCAACTCTAGTATCTTTATAACAGATCTTATGTGGATGGAACTATTGAAATGAACCAAGTTTGAATGGAATCGGATGTTGATTTCTTGTTTTATGAGTTTTATGAATATTCAAAAATTTGACCCTTTTAGGGGGAGGTACCAGAAGAAGTGGACAGATATATTCCATCTTCACACCAGACTTTGAGTTAATAAAAATAATGTGATGTGTGTAATTTGAAGACAATCGGCCTTTTACATCACATTTTATAAGAGCTATAATTATTCAAAATTTTGACCCTTTGTGGGGGAGGTACTTGATGGAGTGGACAGATATTGTTCATTTTCGCACCTGACCTAGCACTGATGCAAATATTAGGATTTGCAAAGTGGGAGCAAAATTGCATTATCCTTTCACTTTCTGTGCAGTAATTTTTTTTTTTTGAATTCCGGCCTTTTGTGTGGGAGGTACCAGAAGGAGTGGACCGATATTGCCCATCTCCAAACTCGATCTAAGTGTGATAATAATATTACGATGTACAAAGTTTGGCCAAATGAGATACTCTGGCTGCACACCAGTCAGCCAGACAGACAAACGGATTGACATCGCTAGATCAACTCCAAATGTCCCGAAACAGATTTGGCCCAAAGAGACCTAAGGTCGAAAACCATTATTTCGATGAGGCATATGGCTGAGGGTATAACAAATAATTGTTGATCTACCTTTGGTCAATACAACTAGTGAGAAAGTCAATAGTAAGTCAATAGTGATTACTTTTTCATATTTCCTACAGGGATATGCAGTAGCCAAGGCCAGTCTATAGTAGGAAGAGTGAAATCGAGTTTTGTACATTCGCCCTGAGCAGAAAAATGACTTCTCGATCGATTGTACCAAATTAGATAAAAATCGTTTTGACTTTTTAAACCAGAATCGATTTTCATTTCAGATTATTTCAGATTCTGAAGTTTTGGCAATGTATAATTTGAAGTAGATCTCAAAATCGATTAGACTTCTGGAATTTTTGCCACAGCCTGACATCAATTTCGCGTTTTTGCCTTCGGAAGGATCTTATGCAACAGTGCCCAGTGGGGGCCTTCACAAATTTCTGAAATTTTGCTTTCATGAGCCTTCCATATTTGACTGAGTACTTGTGACCTATTTTCATTCTGTAAGACAATTATCTCATCCACACGTATTTGAGCCTGCATTTACGGCCATTCTGCCTCGATTATTTATTGACTATTTTCATTTAATTTCATAAAATTCATTTACAATTTAATTTGTAAAATATTTCTCATACGGATATTTGGCAAAGAAACGATCGACAACTTGGTTGGCAACAAAACTGACACCACGTGTCAGAGGTTCGGCTAGCTCCGGATAGATTTCGCTCCAGTTCTTGGTCAAGAATTTGTTCATGTTATCGCTTAATTCCTTGTTGTTGTAGAGGTTTTCGAAATTGAACGTAATACTCTTGGGATACAAATCGATATAGAAATTTTTGACTCTCATATAAGTGGCTCCGTCTTTTTCATATGGTGATCCGGTCCAGCCAATGCGATATTTGGGTTCGTCTAAAATTAAATTAGATACGATATTTGAAGGAACATATTTTAGAGAAACCCATTAACTTACGCATGGTAATATTTGCTTTACCCTCGCCTTTTATGGGTAAAATCAAAACACTACCCGTTATGACATAGTCGCCGACCAGTGACAGATACTGGGCTTGGCCTGAAATTTCATGTTTACCGGCAATCTCCTTGCCAAAGCCCCTTAAAAATACCAAAGGATAATTTTAATAAAAAAAAAAACAAAAATGAAATCAAATGAAATTGAAATCCTGTCTTACTTCTTTTTCTCAAATCTTAAAGTTTTTATCCCCAGGACCTCAGAACCATTCATTGAGCATCTAATATTAACTGGACTTTCGGCACCTCGCGCCACTACCAATGTTTCGAGAAAGAGAGGATCGATAGACTTTAAATCGTAATTTGTATCGCCTAAAGGGGAGGAAAAGTATTTAATGTTATTGAGATTTATTTTTATCAGTAAATTGCATTAAGAACATACCACTGTGTTTTTCAATCATAAAGTAGTTAAATAGCTTTCCAATACACTCAACATCGCCATGTTTGCAGGGTTTCGGATCATCAGCTGGAAAAAAAAGTTTTAAAAAAGCACTTGTAGAGTTGAGTATTCGTAATTGATTTTGAGGTCATAGATTTTTTGTCGAGTTTCAGTTTCAAACGAGCCAAATAATATACAATGATGTTTTGATGTCCTACTACTTTTATAGTACATACCATCAAGACGATGTTAACCTGGGTTTGACAAAACTAAACATCAAAAATATGATATAAATACTGCGATGTGTCAGTTTTGGTCTATATTGGTTACTTCTTTCATTTTGTATGAAATATGTGATAATTTTAGAAACGTTAAAATGTGCCTCAAGCACCAGATATATTCCATTTTCATACTTCATCTAATACAGATAAAAATATTGGTATGGGCAAAATTATAAGAAAATCGGAGATATATATCCGACTTTTTTGCGAAATCATAAATTCCATATTCATTTCAGATTTCTGGTTGAGAGAAATGCTGACTTGTTTCGCTAGAGTTTACAGATAAAAGTATTGAAATTGTAACAATTTGTGGATAAGGGGTTCAGAAGGGGTTCGCGATATGTATCATCTTGTCAAATATTGTCTTAGCAAAAATATTTGTATGTGTGAAACTTGAAGAGATTTGGATTCGTATTTCTCTTTCTTTGAGCGTTTTGTTTATCAAAATATTGAAACCTATTTTGGGGGAGGTACCAGAAGGAGAGGACCAATATATCCCATTTTCACAGCAGATCTTGTGTTAGTACAAATAATGGTATGTGTGAAATATGAAAAGAACCGGATGCTCATTTCCGATTTTATGATAGTTTTGGTTATTTAAAACTTTGACCCTTTGTGGGGAAGGTACCAAAAGGAGATCTGTTATAAAGATGGAGGAGATCGGACCCCTCCGTCTTTATAACAGATCTTGTGTTTGTGGAAATATTGAGATGTGCCAAGTCTGAATGGAACCGGATGTTAATTTCTCGGTTTATGATCTTTATGGATATTCAAAATTTTGACCCTTAAGAGGAGGTACCCGAAGAAGTGGATTGATATATTCCATCTTCACACCAGACCTTGGGTTAATAAAATTATTGGGATGTGTGAGATTTGAAGACAATCGGACTCCTACATCACATTTTATAAGAGTTGTAATTATTCAAAATGTTGACCCATTGTGGGGGAGGTATTTAATGGAGTGGACCGATATTGTTTATTTTCGCACCTGACATAGCTCTGATGCAAATATTAGGATTCGCAAAGATGGAGCAAAATCGGATCGACGTTACTCGTTCTGTGCAGAAAATATATTTTTTGAAAATTCATCTCGAATAATATTACGAAAGCAAATTGGATACTCCCTTCGAGAGTTATCGTGCGTATCAGCCAGACGGACGGACGGTCGATCGGTCGGACATCGCTAGATCGACTCCAAATGTCCTTAAACGGATTTGGTCCAAAGAGACCTAGGGTCTAAAACCGTTATTTCGATGAGGCACTAGCCATATGCCTGAGGGTATAAAAATCGAATTTTAAGTGGTGGGGGAGGTTCTTGATGAAGTTGACCGATATTGTTTCATTTTCGCACTTGACCCAGCACTGATGCAAATATTAGAATTTACAAATTTGGAGCAAAATCGGATTATTTTTTTTCTTCTCCTCTCAGCCATATGGCTAGAGAGGGTATAAAAATCGAATTTTAAGTGGTGGGACTAAAACGAAATATCGAAAGGTTTTTGTTGAAATAAATTATCGAAAAGTTTAAGTATCGTCTTTTCATTGCGATTACATATTTTAAAGAGACAGAGTAAAATGTCTTCCCTTAACGTATTTATATTTATTAATTACTTCCGGATAGCGATGCAATACAATCATAGTTATTCATGCCCAAACAATTCTAAAACCTTAGTAATCAGTATTTCTAATATTACACATTTAAACAATTAATTTTTTAAATAATGTTTGTTTAGTACTCAATTCATTCATTTTCTTCCAATACAATGTTTAAAACAAACAATTTTATTTATATTTTCATTGTTTACTTTCATCTACAATTGTCCCGAAGCAACCTGCAGTAGTCAATCTAAAATCGGAAATCATTAAAAAAACGTGGTATGTAACGTCGTTGAAGTTGTTATGTTACAAATAATTGATTAGTTAATTTAATGATGACAAACAATGGAAATATAAATCTAAATGGTTGCAAAACAGCAGTGCTTTGTTGAGGTTAAACGTCTTGCCGCTAGATATCTGCCGGTGAAGTGTAACAAAAAATTATACTTTCAAATGAACGATCTCTCTATTGAGAACACGGGCAAGTAATTGACACCTGTATCAATAAGAAATGTTTTAATTGGTGGAATATACTCCAAGTAGATTTTAGTTTGAAGCTAGTCATAGAGGGGAAATAATGGATAACTTAACGATATCTAAAGAAAAAATTGTGCAACCCGCATTAAGTAAATTAAAGGCAATGCAGGGGTTTTAATCGCAAGAATACAGAGAATAATTGGCTAAGAGATTGGACTTCTGAAACGTATGGTAGGGACATCTAGAGCAGTTATTTTTGTTACAATAATCTTTTATATTGTATATAGTAACCTGTGAGTACCTTGTAGGAAGGCTAGTCTAGTATTTATGAGACATTATCAACACTTTGTCTACATGCTTTATTTTTCTCCCAGTAGGAAGAAGCATAAGCAATGACAGCCGATAAACTCAGCTTCTTCTTATCTTCATTTCGTTAACTGTTCTGAAGCATACAATTTTAGCGGCTGTAAAAAGCATTTGTTGAAAGTGAAATAAACGAATCTCCAAATTGCTGAAATAGTTTAAATGAAAAATGTATAAAATTAAATTATATAAAAAGCCTAAAAAGCAATTTGTTTTATACCAAAATAGAAACCTGAAGGCTACCGAAAACATTTGAGGTAAAAGTCAAGATTCTAATTTTGTGGAGTATATGGAATATGTTGTGGAGTCTGCTGATGACAACAGGACAGAGGATAGTTTTTGAACGATTTTTCGATTCTAGAATTTGAAAAAAAAACGGAATATTGAAACAGTATCTTCTCGATAATGTTTGGAGAATATGCTTGCAATACTACAGGAGGAAACCTTGAAAGTATCACCATAATGGCTTAACAAATTGTAGTTTGTTTATACCCTCAGTCATATGGCTAGAGAGAGTATATATCATTTGATCGGCCAAAAAGTGCCTCATCGAAATAACGGTTTTAGCACCTAGGTCCCTTTTGACCAAATCCGTTTCTGGAAATTTGAAGTCGATCTAGCGATGTCCGATGTTGGAGTATCCATTTGGGTCCAAACTTGGTACATTATAACATTATTATAAAACTTAGATCGAGCTCGGAGATGGACAATATCGGTTAACTCCTTCTGGTAACTCCCCCACAAAATATCAATATTTTCAAAAAAAAAAAAAAATAATAATTTACTGCACACAAAAGAAAGGATGATCCGATTTTGTTCCAACTTTGCAAATCCTAATATTTGCCTAATACCTAGGTCAAGTGCGAAAATGGACAATATCGGTTCACTCCATCAAGTACCAAATTTTGAATAATTATAAGTCTTATAAAATGTGATGTAAGTGTCCGATTGTCTTCAAATTACAGACATCACAATATTTGTATTAACCCAATGTCTGACGTGAAGACGAAATATATCGGTCTACTCCTTCTAGTACCTCCCCCACAAAGGGTCAAAAATTCCTAATATTTATGAAGCTCGTAAAACGCGAAATTAACATCCGTTTCCATTCAGACTTGGCACATCTCAATATTTCTAGCAACACAAGATTTTTTATAAAGATGGTAGAGATCGCATATCTTCTTTTGATACCTCCCCCACAAAGGGTTAAAATTTTGAATAACCAAAACGATTATAAAATCCGAAATAAGCATCCGGTTATCTTCAAATTGCACACATCACAATATTAATCCAAGGTCTGGTGTGCAGGTGTAATATATCAGTCTACTCCTTCTGGTACCTCCCCCACAACGGGTCAAAATTTAGAATATTTATGAAGCTCATAAAACGCGAAATTAACATCCGATTCCATTCAGACTTGACACATCTCAATATTTCCATCAACACAAGATTTTTTATAAAGATGGTAGAGATCTCATATTTTCTCCTGATACCTCCCCCACAAAGGGTTAACATTTTGAATAACCAAAACAAATATAAAATCCGAAATAAACATCCGATTCTCTTCAAATTACACACATCACAATATTATAATCAAGCCAAGGTCTGGTGTGCAGATGAAATACATCGGTCTACTCCTTCTGGTACCTCCTCCACAACGGGTCAAAATTTTGAATATCCATGAAGCTCAAAAATCACGAAATTAACATCCATTTTCATTCAGTCTTAGCACATCTCAATATTTCCATCAACACAAGATCTGTTATAAAGATGGTAAAGATCGCACAATTTCTTCTGGTACCTCCCCCACATAGGATTCAAGATTTTGAAAAACAAAACGCTCAAAGAGATAAACATCCAAATCCATCCATCCACATCCAAACCCTTCTGGTATCTCACCCACAAAGGATTAAAATTTCCAATACTTATATCAGTCATAAATTGCGAAAAAAGTCGGCGATTCTTTACAACTTGTTATATCTAAATATTTCTCTTAACCAGAAATCTGATAAGAATATGTAATTTATCGGAATTTATGGTTTCGCATAAAATTGGATGTCGATGTCCTTCAAATTTTGCTCATACCAATATTTTTTAATCTGTATTAGATGAAGTGGAATATTTCGTTCCGCTATTTCCGCTACCTCACACATATTTCTACATTTTCCAAAAATCTGCACATATCTCATATCAAGTATATAAAGTAGCCGATATAGTCCAAATCTGGCAGGATGTAATATTTATATCAGTCTTAGGTCAGATACGAATTGCTCAATATTGGCCAACTGCTTGGGAACCTCCCCCATAAAGAGTCAACAATTTGAATAATCATAACTCAAGTCGGGGGGTATACACCTGTCGGAAAAACCGACTGATACTATTTTAATTGTTTACACTTCAGACTTTACAATATTTGGAAAGTGTCCTTTAATCCTTCAGATCTTTTTTGTGGTTTAATTCAAAACACTAACATCACGGACACCGACATACTTTCGTCCTACTCAGATACATATATGCGTTCATTTTAGGAGTATAATTGTAATCCTTTAATTGTTTGGATTTTTCCATTTTTTCTCCGCCGCGTTACACTTACGAAAATCACCAATTACGCCACCAATCGCCACTGCAACTAATAATATAACCACTTTGATTGGCATTTTACTGCGCGATGCTAATTAGATGTTCTGATAAAGATTAAGTTTGTTCGACTATTGAAGCGGACTTGAGCAGGCGTTCCTTATATATGTGATACCTTCGTCATTGGAGAATTAGAGCCCATTAGAATGCACGTTTCAATCATTACACTGGTTTACAAATCAATCGTCGATAATTGAGTAAATGTTTTGAAAAAAAAATAAATGCAATCAAGGGAATACAATTAGTTAGTGGAAGAAATATTTAAAAATAATATAATGTCAGCCAGCGATGCAAACTTAGTGCTTTTCGCGCTATTTATGGTGCTTTTTAGACCCCCTAAAACGCCAAAATAGTGGGCATAGCGCGAAACGAAAAAAAAGCACTGTACGTACGCTTTTCATCTTTTCTGTTGGTGATTTTAGCGCGTTTTAGATTTTTAAACATAACAATGTTTATACATTCGAATATTTTGATAGTATGACATCTACTTGTCGCAAGTTCTTTACAAATTCTTTACGTGTCATTCCTGTCATTGAAGTTATTTTGTTTACTCTTTCTTAATAAACCATAATAAAATGAAGAATTTTGTGTATTATAAACCAATTGAAGGAAAAGTGAAATGAACGAGAAAAAAACGTAAGTTTATACATGGCTGCTTTCTTGTACGAGTTTACAAAACTTAAACTGAATTTGAAGCTATGGAACATAATTGTTTCTAAAAATGTGTATGTCTGCAAGTTTTAACCACATGTAAAATGTTCCTAATATATCATATTTTTTTTAAAAATATGTATGCACTTATATACATGAAATATTTATATATGTTGTTGTTGATTTAAGACACATTTTTCAATGGAATTGTCTGCAATTCTACACAAGGAGTTCTTTGTGAGTACTTTACCCCCTGAAATAGAATTGTCGGTAAGGTCCACAATATCGTATATCCTCAATATATCGGCATCTTCCGATATTGGGTATTTTTGTAGATTTTAACAGAATTTTTAATGGATTTTTTTTTTTGTAAATTTCCTAATTCGTTTTAAATGGTGGAGGGTATTCAAAGTTCGGCCCGGCCGAACTTACTGCTTTTTTACTTGTTTAAAAATATGTATGCGCTTATATACATGAAATGTTTATTTTGTTGTTGCAAAATGGTCAGGCTTTATCTCTTTATTGTTGTTTTTATAAAAACAACGTTTGTTTAATGAAATGTTTATATAAGATACGATCTAAATTTTTGAATAAAACAGTATTTAGTTTAAAAAAAGGGTTTTATTGACAATTTTGGTTAGAAAAAAATACATAGCGCTTTTTACGCTTTTTTAAGGAAAATTTTTACGCCATTTACGCTTTTCTGGTTTTTAATTACGCTTTTAGCTCTCAAAATGTTGGCATCACTGATGTCAGCAAAATATGAATAGAAACATTGCCGGCCTTTGATTTAGGGATGGACAATGTTTTACAAAGATGGATATTCTTTGAGACCAATTTTGTTCAACTAACAAATAACTAATTGTGATGGCACATTATTTTGAGTGCGGTTGAGGCGCTGGGAAAATCTAATAATTGAAAACCAGTAAGGAAAGGTCAAAAGCCGGGCGGGACCGACACCACTATGCGTATTTAGTAGAGCTCCCGTAACAAAAAAGTTTATATTGGGAATTAATCTGAAGTAGATAATACCAACTTTGAACCAAATAACTTCGCTGTATAGTGCATGATATGACTTCGATACGGAATATATTAAAAATATTTATTGTAGCAATAGATATACCGGACCTAGTTTTACCAATGGTAAAATTCGGTTGAATATGAAAAAAATCTATTCAATTTGGTCTAATATGTCATATACAGGGTGACATAAAAAAATCTGCAACAAAGTTTTACGCTATAATTTATACTTTTTTTTTTTAAATTTTACTGAATGAAAGCAAAACTGTCGGAAATAGCATCAACTTTTCGAATAAGTTTAAATTTGTTCGAATCGATCACCTTTGGCATGAATTGCGGCCTTCAAACGGACAATGAAACCGTCACACGCTGCCCAAATGTTGCTCTGCGGTATTTTGGCCCATTCCCGCCGAAACGCTTTTTTGAGGTGATCAACACTTTGGTATTTTTTAGTGCAAAACTTGCTTTCCACAATACTCCAGGCGGATTAGTATCCGAAGATTTCAAGGGATTGGTATCTGGAGATTTTGGTGCCCATTGTGCGCTGGAAATGAAACGAGGAATCTCCTGTTGTAACCATTCTTGGGTGGGCGTGCTGAGTACGATGGTGCTGAGTCCTGTTGATATGTCCAATGTCTGCCGCCTAAATATTTGCGTGTCCAAGACTTTAATACACCCTCCAGAATATTTTCGCGATAGTATTCGGCATTTATTCTGATGACACTGTCGATTATTACGAGCGGAGAGCGACCATCGGCTGTTAAGGCGGCCCGCACCATCACCATGATGATGGCCGGCGCTTGAGTTCTGGTGGCCAACCGAAGTTGCACATTTTCAGCTGACCTCTTTGGCAAGTAAACACGATCATTTTGTTTGTTTACAAACTGCTGGACAACGAATGTTTTCTCATCGGAGAAAACCAAATTCGGCAGATCACCGCTTTCGGCCAAGCGAAACAACTCTTTAGCTCTTTTCAGTCTATTTTCTTTCTGTTGCGGTGTAAGTTCTTACACTTTTTGGAAGTTCAATGGCAATTTTTCAATATTTGCCGAATGGAACATTGCGATATGTGCAGCTCACAAGCCATTTCTCGGCCACTGAGACGCGGGTTTCGATCAAGTCGTTTCATTACTTTTCGAATGCTCTAACGATAGCCACTTGTGGTTTTCCAGCCAAATATAAAGAAAATACACTATCACGAATAACTTTTTTCTAGAAAATTTTCACCACAACGCTTTTGTACGCTTGTAAACAATATAATGAGCTTTCACTGGAGTATTTTTACAGCTGCTGGACGAGTGGCTTAGAAATGACAGCAGTCTGAAGTTGGTTGCAGTTTTTTTCATCTCACTCAGTATTTGTAATTTAAGAAAACAGTAGACTAGTGTTAGGGATTTAAGATACGTAATGATATTGATTAAATAAACTGGTTATTCGGTTGGCCACAACACTGATTATGCCAAAATAAATACCCTTATACTAGGGACCTGGTTTACATCTGATGCTGGTTTACTGAAGTCCCAAAGTGAGGAAAGCAATGCCAACTATGTATGGCATGCACGCACCAAATTTTTTCTTATTACCTTTCATGTAAACTTCCACTTAGATGAAAGGTCCGAAATCTTTGAAATTTATACTTAAAAACTGAGATTAATTCTAGGTTTGTCCTGCCGCGAAGATAGGAAAATTTTGAGGTCCGTATTGGGGCCTCCTTTTATTTCCAACACTGGCAAGTATATTTTTTATCCTACACCCGAGATTCGGTTACAATTCTAGGGCAGAAATTGCACATTTACGCATCTCACCTTAACAAAGTTTCGTTATTCATAGACCTATTCTCAGATCTTATGTAAGTCGGAATAGGTAGATAAGATTAGAAAATATTTGTAGATATTATATTTGGAGGGGACACATTTCAGAATATAATATCTATAATTGGGCTTCCGTAAGAACGGTGTTAACTGTACAAAATACCTTCAAAAAGATCTCAGAGGAAGACCTTTCAGAGATCTTCTTTATATGGACAAACTGTTTGTTTTTTTGGAGACAGATAGAGCTGTAATCTATAAATATTTCTAGTAAAGATAACTAAGTAAAATCAGACCCTTTTAAACCTCGGAACAAGCTACACAATTTTTATTTTCTTTAGTTTATTAATTGCACCCTTGAGACTAAATTAGGAGTCAATCTTTTCAGGGGGAGATTTCATAGACAAGACAAGATGGTGGGGGGAGCTTTCATACTTCTCCAAAGACGAGTTGAAGCAGTGTCCATAATAAAACTGGAGCGAAGTCTACATAGACGAGTTGAAGGAGTATCCATAATTGAGCTGGAGCACAGTCTCCATAGACAAGCTGGAGGGCATTCTCCATAGACGAGCTGGAGCACAGTCTCCATAGACGAGCTGGAGCGCAGTCTCCATAGACGAGCTGGAGCGCAGTCTCCATAGACGAGCTGGAGCGCAGTCTCCATAGACGAGCTGGAGCGCAGTCTCCATAGACGAGCTGGAGCGCAGTCTCCATAGACGAGCTGGAGCGCAGTCTCCATAGACGAGCTGGAGCGCAGTCTTCATAGACGAGCTAGAGCGTAGTCTTCATAGAAGAGCTAGACCGCACTCTTCATAGACAAGCTAGAGCGCAGTCTTCATAGACAAGCTAGAGCGCAGTCTTCATAGACAAGCTAGAGCGCAGTCTTCATAGACAAGCTGGAGTGAAGTCTCCATAGTTGAGCTGGAGCGAAGTCTCCATTGACATAGCGAGTTGGAAAGGGAGTCTTCATAGATGAGGAACATACTCTCCGCAGGCAGAGTTTCCATTGTTGGAGTCTACGCAGGCGAGTTGAAGGTGGGGTCCTCATAGACGTGTTAAAGGCGGAATTTCCATAGACGAGTTGTGAAGCCTCCATAGACGGGAAGTCTCGTACCTTCTGAGGGACTTCATTTCATCGGTCTTCTACGAATGAAACCTTTAGAAGATCTTCATTAGAAAGATGATTCTCATGAGGACTCAAAAATTGAGAGAAGTCCTCTTTAGGTACCAGCTGTCCAAGGTCTTCCTCAATTGGAGACTCATTTAAACTTTTCTCGCTATAGATGAAGGGTTCAATAGAAGGGCTTTGAAGGCTTTCATTCTATCGATGAACTTTTAAAGTTCCATTGTCTTTACAGTTTAGAGGTCTTCTGTCCATAGAAGACCGGTTAAAGGTTTTCTGTCAATAGAACCTATTTTGAAGAAAGCATTTTACTCTTTTCTTCCTATAGAACACCTCTTGAAGTTCTTCTGTTTATAGAAGGCCTTTGGAAGATTTTCTGTCAATAGAATACCCTTTGAAGGTCTTCTATTTGCAGGAGACCTGTTGAAGGGTCTATTGAAGGCCCTCTTTTTATAAAAGGCTTTTGGAGGCGTTCTGTTTTTCCAAGAATCTTTAAAGGCATTCTATAGAGGACCTATGGAGTCCTTCAGTTTTCCAGGACCCTTTGAGGACTTCCGTCTATAGAAACCCTTTTGGAGGTCCCTTTTGTGTAAGGGCCATTTTGATAGTCTTCATTCTGTAGAATATCTTTTGAAGGCCTTATTTAAAGGGCTTTCAATATGTATTTTTCGGTTAGAACACATTCAACAGGTTCTTGATAGAAAGAAGATCTTCAGCCGGGTTTCTGTAGATAGAAAAGTTGTAACAGGTGTAGAATATTTTAAACCTTATGCCTTGTTCTCGAAAAGCCTAGACGTATTTAATGCATCCTGTAGCATGATTCATCTTTTAAAAATTGTCGGAAATAAAAATTTATTATACCACATATTCTTTTCAATATATTCTACGTACAATTTTCTATAAACAAATTTATTCTAAAAACAATTTCTCATAGGGATGTTTATCAAAAACACCCTGAATAACATTGCGGGCAATCGGAGCCAAGCCCTTTGTCAATGCGGTATGGATTTCGGGATAGGTTTCCTTCCAACTGTCAGTTAAGAATTTATTCATATTATCGCTGAGAAACTTATCGTTGAATAGATTCTCAAAATTGAAAATGACATTCTTTGGTTCCAAATCAACGGTGAATTTATCCAATTTCATGTGGGTAGCACCACCATCCTTTACATTTGGTGTGCCCATCCAACTGATAGTTATTTTGGGTTCGACTGGAAGACAAAACAAGGATTAGGAAATAATTACATATGTATTGGAAAAATCGTTACCTACCCAGTGTTACATTGCTTTTACCCGAACCGTGTATGGGAAGTACCAACACCTTGCCGGATATCTTATAGTCTCCCACTAAGGCCAGTTTATCAGTTTTGAATATAACTTCATGTTTTGTTGCCAAATCTTTGCCGAAGCCTCTGAAAGTAAAAAAAAAATCAAACGAAGTTATCAGAAAACCAAAAAAAATAATTATACGCACTTCGTTTTTAACAATGTTGCCGTTTTAAGTCCAATCCCCACGTTGTTGGTAAATAACAAATCAATGTTGACTGGACTATCACTACCCTGTTTGATGTGGAACTTTTTGACAGGTATGGGATCCATGGCACTTAAATTCAGGCTGTCATCACCTGGGAGTACAAAAAAAAAAAAAAAAAAATAGAAAATGGTTATGGAAAAATCAATACCTCCTAAGGACTTATTATGCTAGGAGTTCAGGTAAAGATCAGGATAATAATTTAGTTTGAGGAAAGTGGTTAAGGTAATTTGAAGCCGAATTTGTTTGGAGTATATATTGATCTTAATACTCCTCATTTTGAGAACCTTATTATTTAGTAAAACATACCACCATATTTCTCCCTTGCAATAAGTCCAATAACTTTTCCAATACATTGTTCATCGCCATATTTGCAGGGCTTTGGATCATCCGCTGAAACAGTTAGAAAATAGAAATTTATTAAGTGAAAATTTTTAAATATAAATATTAAGTATTAATTAGGGTTAAATCCGCGTGAAAACAAATTAATAAGATTTACGGTTCATTATCTTCATATAGGAGAGCTGTGTCTCCATAGTCCTGCTGAAGGGAGTCTCCATAGACGATGTGAAAGCAAATCTTCATAGATAAGTAGAGAGGAGTCTCAATAGATGAATTATAGGAAGACTCTATAGACGTGTTGAAGGGAGTCTGTATAGACGAGCTGATGGAAGTCTCCAGAGATGAGCTAAAGAAAGTCTTCATAGACGAGCTGATTTAAAAGACAAGCTAAAGCGAGTCTTCATAAACGGTTTGAAGGAAGTTTTCATAGTCGAACTGAAGAGAGTCTACGAGACGAGCTGAAGGAAGTCTTAATAGTAATAATCCATTCTGGAAGACCTGAAGAAAGTCTCCTTTCGAGACGAGCTGAAGGGTGTCTCCACTCTAGAGGAGCCGGAGGCAGTCTGTTCAGTCTTCAGAAGCGATTTAGGCAGTCTCCTCTACTTGAAGGATGTCTTGTGCCTACACGAGCTGAGGGGACTCTCCTTTCGAGACGGGCTGAAGAGAGATTCCACTCTAGACGAGCTGAAGTTAGTTTCCATTCTAGAAGACCTGAAGAGAGTATTTTTTCGAGACGAGCCGAAGTGAGATTCCACTCTAGACGAGCTGAAGGGAGTCCCCCCTCTAGAGAAGCTGAGGGCAGTCAACTTCAAGAGCGATGAAGGCAGTCCTTTCGAGACGAGCTGAAGGGTGTCTCCACTCTAGAGGACCCGGGGGCAGTCTGTTCAGTCTCTAGAAGCGATGAAGACAGTATCCTCTACCTGAAGGTGGTCTTCTCTCTAGATGAGCTTTTGAGACGAGCTGAAGGGATTCTCCTTTCGAGACGTGCTGAAGGGAGATTCCACTGTAGATGAGTCTAATTTTGAGACGAGCTGAATGGAATCTCTAGAAGAGCTGAAGGCAGCCTGTTCTTCAGAAACGATGAAGGCAGTCTCCTCTACCTGAAGAAAGTCTCCTCTTGGGATGAGCTAAATTGAGTCTCCTTTGGGGACGTATTGAAAGGAGATTCCACACTAGACGTGCTGAGGGCAGGGTCCATTCTATAAGAGCTGTTGGCAACCTGATTTTCAGGAGCGATAAAGGCAGTATCCTCTACTTGAAGGGAGTCTTCTCTCTAGAGTCTCTTCTCTAGACGAGCTAAATATAGTTTTCTTTATAGGCCAGCTGAAATGGAATCTCCATAGGCGAGCCGTGGTAGCCTCCGTAAACTAGCTGAGTGGGTCTAGAATGATGAGCTTAAGGGAGTTCACCTAAAGAGTGCCGAAGACAGTTTCCTTCTTAAAAAAATAAACAAAATCTATAGCCGACTGAACGGACATATTTATGAACAACTAGAATGCAAAATTTACTGAAGTCCAGAAGCAAGTATCCTCTGCTCTTAAAAAGAGCTGAAGAGTGTTTAAAGCTGAAAAGGAGGGGTTCTATACATAAGTCTAGAAAAACGCTTTTATTGAGGACCAGAATGGTTCGAATCCTTTTAATCTTCCGATCTCGAGGGCTGGATTTTTGATGCTACTCAATAATCTATAATGAACAGATTAAGGCCGAAAATCTATTTCTGCATTTTTATGCGGATTCCTTTAAAGCTTCGTCGATGACAGACTCTTCATTATCTGTTTAAAATGAGTATAGAGATTAGATTTTAGGTACAGAAATGGTCGGGTTGGACTCACTTCTGGCCCTAAATTTGGAAAAATATTAAGACTTTCGATTAGCTTCAAAAAAGGACCTGATAATGTCTATAAATATTTCCTTTCAGGCCGTTTATAGCAATTCATTGGTCTGGCTTATAAGAATTTTCTTTCAGCTATTCCATGTCTAAAGGACTCCTTTGTAGCTGTCGATATTAACTCCTTTGAGTCCAATTAAAAGGTCTAAATTGCAGTTTAAATTTCAGCTACTCCAAGACGACTCATGGGCTTAGTTTTTACGACTCTTCATCTCATATCCTTCCAGTTTTCGGATACAAACACTATTTTTCCAGGACGCTGGATCATTATCCTTATTTTAAGATTGGTTATAATTTATATATTTTTATCGGAACTTGAAGCAAATATTTTGTATGGCACATGTCTTATTACTTTTATATCGGTTTTTGTGTGCGGATGAGTACCGTTCCAATGGGGAACCCGTTTTTCTATATCCTTTAATTTTCACAATTCCGCTTGGTTTTTTTTTTCATCTCACTTACGAAAGGCACCGTTCGCCACAGTACTCCACGCTATCACCAAGCCGAATAAAATAAAAATGTTTACAAAAAAGTTTTTAAAATACATTGTTGCTATTTTATTTTGGTTGGTGTTTGTTTTTGTTGCCTGACAATCCGCACAATTCGAAGCGTGTTACAAAACTGTTAGAAAGCCATTTATAATGGCGACATTTTATATACTTGTCTGTTTTGCAAAATTTCCACTTGACTTCGATACGGAATATATTAAAAATATTTATTGTAGCAATAGATATACCGGACCTAGTTTTACCAATGGTAAAATTCGGTTGAATATGAAAAAAATCTATTCAATTTGTTCTAATATGTCATATACAGGGTGACATAAAAAAATCTGCAACAAAGTTTTACGCTATAATTTATACTTTTTTTTTTTTAAATTTTACTGAATGAAAGCAAAACTGTCGGAAATAGCATCAACTTTTCGAATAAGTTTAAATTTGTTCGAATCGATCACCTTTGGCATGAATTGCGGCCTTCAAACGGACAATGAAACCGTCACACGCTGCCCAAATGTTGCTCTGCGGTATTTTGGCCCATTCCCGCCGAAACGCTTTTTTGAGGTGATCAACACTTTGGTATTTTTTAGTGCAAAACTTGCTTTCCACAATACTCCAGGCGGATTAGTATCCGAAGATTTCAAGGGATTGGTATCTGGAGATTTTGGTGCCCATTGTGCGCTGGAAATGAAACGAGGAATCTCCTGTTGTAACCATTCTTGGGTGGGCGTGCTGAGTACGATGGTGCTGAGTCCTGTTGATATGTCCAAGGTCTGCCGCCTAAATATTTGCGTGTCCAAGACTTTAATACACCCTCCAGAATATTTTCGCGATAATATTCGGCATTTATTCTGATGACACTGTCGATTATTACGAGCGGAGAGCGACCATCGGCTGTTAAGGCGGCCCGCACCATCACCATGATGATGGCCGGCGCTTGAGTTCTGGTGGCCAACCGAAGTTGCACATTTTCAGCTGACCTCTTTGGCAAGTAAACACGATCATTTTGTTTGTTTACAAACTGCTGGACAACGAATGTTTTCTCATCGGAGAAAACCAAATTCGGCAGATCACCGCTTTCGGCCAAGCGAAACAACTCTTTAGCTCTTTTCAGTCTATTTTGTTTCTGTTGCGGTGTAAGTTCTTACACTTTTTGGAAGTTCAATGGCAATTTTTCAATATTTGCCGAATGGAACATTGCGATATGTGCAGCTCACAAGCCATTTCTCGGCCACTGAGACGCGGGTTTCGATCAAGTCGTTTCATTACTTTTCGAATGCTCTGACGATAGCCACTTGTGGTTTTCCAGCCAAATATAAAGAAAATACACTATCACGAATAACTTTTTTCTAGAAAATTTTCACCACAACGCTTTTGTACGCTTGTAAACAATATAATGAGCTTTCACTGGAGTATTTTTACAGCTGCTGGACGAGTGGCTTAGAAATGACAGCAGTCTGAAGTTGGTTGCAGTTTTTTTCATCTCACTCAGTATTTGTAATTTAAGAAAACAGTAGACTAGTGTTAGGGATTTAAGATACGTAATGATATTGATTAAATAAACTGGTTATTCGGTTGGCCACAACACAGATTATGCCAAAATAAATACCCTTATACTAGGGACCTGGTTTACATCTGATGCTGGTTTACTGAAGTCCCAAAGTGAGGAAAGCAATGCCAACTATGTATGGCATGCACGCACCAAATTTTTTCTCATTACCTTTCATGTAAACTTCCACTTAGATGAAAGGTCCGAAATCTTTGAAATTTATACTTAAAAACTGAGATTAATTCTAGGTTTGTCCTGCCGCGAAGATAGGAAAATTTTGAGGTCCGTATTGGGCCTCCTTTTATTTCCAACACTGGCAAGTATATTTTTTATCCTACACCCGATATTCGGTTACATATCTAATCCAGTTAATCCCACAAATTACCTTAGTGCTTATTGTGATAATTAGTCGTTAAAAACTAGAAGTCTTCGTTATTATAAATATAATTTGCCACTTGTAGTTAATACTCTTGTTTTTTTTTTGTTACTTAACACGAATAATTACAATAATTATAAAACAAAGTGTGCTACCGTAGCTAATAAAAAAAAACAAACGTAAATTATTTATTGCCGTAATGATACTATAATTCTAGGGCAGAAATTGCACATTTACGCATCTCACCTTAACAAAGTTTCGTTATTCATAGACCTATTCTCAGATCTTATGTAAGTCGGAATAGGTAGATAAGATTAGAAAATATTTGTAGATATTATATTTGGAGGGGACACATTTCAGAATATAATATCTATAATTGGGCTTCCGTAAGAACGATGTTAACTGTACAAAATACCTTCAAAAAGATCTCAGAGGAAGACCTTTCAGAGATCTTCTTTATATGGACAAACTGTTTGTTTTTTGGAGACAGATAGAGCTGTAATCTATAAATATTTCTAGTAAAGATAACTAAGTAAAATCAGACCCTTTTGAACCTCGGAACAAGCTACACAATTTTTATTTTCTTTAGTTTATTAATTGCACCCTTGAGACTAAATTAGGAGTCAATCTTTTCAGGGGGAGATTTCATAGACAAGACAAGATGGTGGGGGGAGCTTTCATACTTCTCCAAAGACGAGTTGAAGCAGTGTCCATAATAAAACTGGAGCGAAGTCTACATAGACGAGTTGAAGGAGTATCCATAATTGAGCTGGAGCACAGTCTCCATAGACAAGCTGGAGGGCATTCTCCATAGACGAGCTGGAGCACAGTCTCCATAGACGAGCTGGAGCGCAGTCTCCATAGACGAGCTGGAGCGCAGTCTCCATAGACGAGCTGGAGCGCAGTCTCCATAGACGAGCTGGAGCGCAGTCTCCATAGACGAGCTGGAGCGCAGTCTCCATAGACGAGCTGGAGCGCAGTCTCCATAGACGAGCTGGAGCGCAGTCTTCATAGACGAGCTAGAGCGTAGTCTTCATAGAAGATCTAGACCGCACTCTTCATAGACGAGCTAGAGCGCAGTCTTCATAAACGAGCTGAAGTGAAGTCTGCGTAGTCTTCATAGAAGAGCTAGACCGCACTCTTCATAGACAAGCTAGAGCGCAGTCTTCATAGACAAGCTAGAGCGCAGTCTTCATAGACAAGCTAGAGCGCAGTCTTCATAGACAAGCTGGAGTGAAGTCTCCATAGTTGAGCTGGAGCGAAGTCTCCATTGACATAGCGAGTTGGAAAGGGAGTCTTCATAGATGAGGAACATACTCTCCGCAGGCAGAGTTTCCATTGTTGGAGTCTACGCAGGCGAGTTGAAGGTGGGGTCCTCATAGACGTGTTAAAGGCGGAATTTCCATAGACGAGTTGTGAAGCCTCCATAGACGGGAAGTCTCGTACCTCCTGAGGGACTTCATTTCATCGGTCTTCTACGAATGAAACCTTTAGAAGATCTTCATTAGAAAGATGATTCTCATGAGGACTCAAAAATTGAGAGAAGTCCTCTTTAGGTACCAGCTGTCCAAGGTCTTCCTCAATTGGAGACTCATTTAAACTTTTCTCGCTATAGATGAAGGGTTCAATAGAAGGGCTTTGAAGGCTTTCATTCTATCGATGAACTTTTAAAGTTCCATTGTCTTTACAGTTTAGAGGTCTTCTGTCCATAGAAGACCGGTTAAAGGTTTTCTGTCAATAGAACCTATTTTGAAGAAAGCATTTTACTCTTTTCTTCCTATAGAACACCTCTTGAAGTTCTTCTGTTTATAGAAGGCCTTTGGAAGATTTTCTGTCAATAGAATACCCTTTGAAGGTCTTCTATTTGCAGGAGACCTGTTGAAGGGTCTATTGAAGGCCCTCTTTTTATAAAAGGCTTTTGGAGGCGTTCTGTTTTTCCAAGAATCTTTAAAGGCATTCTATAGAGGACCTATGGAGTCCTTCAGTTTTCCAGGACCCTTTGAGGACTTCCGTCTATAGAAACCCTTTTGGAGGTCCCTTTTGTGTAAGGGCCATTTTGATAGTCTTCATTCTGTAGAATATCTTTTGAAGGCCTTATTTAAAGGGCTTTCAATATGTATTTTTCGGTTAGAACACATTCAACAGGTTCTTGATAGAAAGAAGATCTTCAGCCGGGTTTCTGTAGATAGAAAAGTTGTAACAGGTGTAGAATATTTTAAACCTTATGCCTTGTTCTCGAAAAGCCTAGACGTATTTAATGCATCCTGTAGCATGATTCATCTTTTAAAAATTGTCGGAAATAAAAATTTATTATACCACATATTCTTTTCAATATATTCTACGTACAATTTTCTATAAACAAATTTATTCTAAAAACAATTTCTCATAGGGATGTTTATCAAAAACACCCTGAATAACATTGCGGGCAATCGGAGCCAAGCCCTTTGTCAATGCGGTATGGATTTCGGGATAGGTTTCCTTCCAACTGTCAGTTAAGAATTTATTCATATTATCGCTGAGAAACTTATCGTTGAATAGATTCTCAAAATTGAAAATGACATTCTTTGGTTCCAAATCAACGGTGAATTTATCCAATTTCATGTGGGTAGCACCACCATCCTTTACATTTGGTGTGCCCATCCAACTGATAGTTATTTTGGGTTCGACTGGAAGACAAAACAAGGATTAGGAAATAATTACATATGTATTGGAAAAATCGTTACCTACCCAGTGTTACATTGCTTTTACCCGAACCGTGTATGGGAAGTACCAACACCTTGCCGGATATCTTATAGTCTCCCACTAAGGCCAGTTTATCAGTTTTGAATATAACTTCATGTTTTGTTGCCAAATCTTTGCCGAAGCCTCTGAAAGTAAAAAAAAAATCAAACGAAGTTATCAGAAAACCAAAAAAAATAATTATACGCACTTCGTTTTTAACAATGTTGCCGTTTTAAGTCCAATCCCCACGTTGTTGGTAAATAACAAATCAATGTTGACTGGACTATCACTACCCTGTTTGATGTGGAACTTTTTGACAGGTATGGGATCCATGGCACTTAAATTCAGGCTGTCATCACCTGGGAGTACAAAAAAAAAAAAAAAAATAGAAAATGGTTATGGAAAAATCAATACCTCCTAAGGACTTATTATGCTAGGAGTTCAGGTAAAGATCAGGATAATAATTTAGTTTGAGGAAAGTGGTTAA